ACTCCATTTATTACTACTCTCTGCTTTCTACTTTCCAGCCAAGTTTTTATCCAATTTAATAACATTTCCCCCACACCCACAGATTTTTATTTTTGTAACAAGTCTTTTGTGAAGCATCTTATCAAATGCTTTCTGAAAATCAAGATGAACCAAATCCATAGCATTTCCTTCATCAACTCTTGCAGTAACATCCTCAAAGAATGTCAGATTTCCCTTAGTGAAACCATGCATTAATGTTTTTGTAGTCTACTTTTACTAATATTTACTTACTGAATCAGTGAATGACATTTAGAAGTTTTTAAATCAGAGTGATCAATCTTTTGTGCACGTGCCTACTTTTGTATTGGAAAATAAAATAACACCCAAAAGGAACCTGTCACAAATAAGAGACAACAAATACAAAAACCACTTGTATTTTTGAAGAAAATAACTTCAAGACAAGAATAACTCCTTATGAATTCCAGTGTGAATACTGTATAGTAAATTCCACTTTTTCAAGATTATAAGTTAAACAGTACTAAGACTGTACCGACAACACAAGTCAAACTTAAGTTTATATCATAATTAATTCTTTGCAATGTCTTTTTTTTTTTATAAAGGTTCTCATACACAGTTTTCTGATCATTTCTATAGTTACTTTAAAAAATAAATGTTAAAAATATGTAGAGCTTGGTGCTTTAATTAGTATAATCAATTATCTATGAGCAGCAATGACATCAATTAGTGTCATGTTAACTAGTTGGTTAATCAAAATTATGATTAAATCTATTAATTGAAATTATTGTTTCTTATTATTACTGTTTTTGATAATTTCAACTATCTAGCTAATAGATATATTGCTATTATGTTTGTTTATTGTTAAACACTAAGCTACACAATGGGCTATCTGTGTTCTGCCCCATTTTAACCTTATAACTTGTTCATAATTCGAGGGTCTTAGGTTCAATTCCCATCACCAACAAACTTGCTTGCCCTGTCTTTGTTATAACAAACCTACTAAGGCTATCTGCCACTAATTTTAAACTATTGACTAGAGAGACGACAACTGTCTAGCAGCATCCCCCGCCAACTTTGTTTTTGTTTGTACATGCCATGGTTTGAGGAATGCTCTACTAATCAATTAATCAAAGGAATGCAATTAATGGGGTTGTCAATTAGCAAATACCAATAATTGCTCAAATCTAAGAATACGTAAGCATATTAAGCCTAAAATTTGTGATAAAAATCTGCAATTTATTTCTGTAAACAATATTATTTATTTTCCTACCGCCAATAAGCATTTTTTTTTAAACTTTTATGTTTTAGTCTACAAATGTCTTGCTTTTCATGTACACCCATTTGAATGGACTTTTTATGAAACATGAATCTAGAAGAAAAAAATTTATATCAATATTCCATCCTTTAGGTCTGATACTAAGTTTTCCATCCATAATGAAAGATAATTAGCATTTAATGGAAAGGTCTGTTTTTGTTCATTTTTCTTTGTAACAAACTAAGCTTTAACAACTAAACACATTGAATTATTGAAAAACTGAGTAAATATCGTTTGTTCAATGTATGTGATTTGGGGACTATTTTTAAATTTGAATTTGCATAATTACATGTGAACCTTTTAATAGTTTCGTAAATACCATCACAAATGATGTATGTGATTTGGGGACTATTTTTCAATTTGAATTTGCATAATTACATGTGAACCTTTTAATAGTTTCGTAAATACCATCGCAAATGACGTTGTTGCAAATGGATTAGACAAATAGTGATCCGAAACAAAAAATAAAACCGGAAAACACGTGAAACGATAGCTTACTGTAGATAATACACCAAATGATATAAAAAGATGACAGAAGATTTGTTAACTAAAAATTATGTACTGTTTTAAATTCTTTACGAGCTTAATTACAAAATTAACAAAGCTGTGTTTTCAGACTATCGAGCAGTTTGAATTTGATGGCTGTGACAACTGTGAAGAGTATCTTGGAATGAAAAATAACAGAGACATGGTGTATGACTGTACAAGTTCAAATTTTGATGGGTAACTATGTGCATATTTATACAAACTTTTAATGTTTTGTAGCTCATAAAGATAGTGAATCAACACAACATTTAGATGCAGTGTAAAGGTGAAAATATGTTTTCTATAAATATATGTAGCATTTTTATAAACAGTTGTGCTTAATTTGTCTCTGAATTAGCATTTATTTATTTAATTGAGTTTGTTTGTTTTTTCGGGGGTTTGTAGATTTATAGGATTGATGGGACCAGAAGACAGCTGGGTAGCAAAATGGCAGAGAATAAGTAAGTTGAAACTTTCATAAAAAGAGGAAAATTGTCGTAATCAACATTTAGAACCTTACATGTAGTATAGATAGAAGTATGGATTTTTTTTTTATTAACCAAATTTTAATGGGTCCACATGACATATCAATTTAATGAGATACTCCTTGTAGTGATAAAGACTGCTAATCTTAGTCTGTTGTAACTCGGCTGAAAAGGATTATGATAGTAAAACTAAATATAAAGCTCAGTCTGTAATTGGATTCACCAGTTTGGGGATATTCCACCTCCTCGGCAATCCTGAACAACACTAGGTTTCATATATTGGTGAGTTACATGTTATATGTAGGAACCTCCTTTCGCACAAGGCTTTT